ATAGATTTTAGATATAAATATATCTAAAATCTAATATCAAAATTTCCTTTATCAGTATTCATAAAAACATTTTTAGAAAAGAAAATTTCTATAAATGTAATATTAGTTTTTATTGACGTAAAAGCAGCATTTACACCTTCATAGATACTATGAGGTATTTAGCTTGATATACGAACATCATTTCCGAAGTAGACTGAGTTTATGTACATAACTGTACAATAATCCAAAAAGTTCGCGCATGTTCACCATACATATACTGTAATGATGCGTATTATATCTTAATTATTAATATGGACATATAATTAAAAATAACAGTACGTATTATCCCGCGGTTATTGATTAAATACAATTTATGTAAGATACATTAAATAGAATATAATTTCATCTTCCATAGAAGATAAAAACATATAACAATAATATTTATATACTAATTTGCTGCCGAACATATGAAATTAGCATATACAATTTCATATAATTTTAAAAAGTAATACACTACATTTATGTAAATGCAGTATATTTCATAATATATAAAATGGACGTTAAAAATGGTTACTTTATCCGTTAATTTAATATATTACTGCAAATTCATTGTAATATATTACAATGAATTTTTTAATTGCAAAATAGAACAGGCATATATATAATAAAGTGTAAAATCGATTTATAAAGCACTAAAGATCAGATCTTAATATTTACAATTTGCATTAAAAATGCATCGCGTAGCAAATAAATTTTAACAAAAGTTGCATTTGTCATTAATATGATATTTTGTACAAGGTATTTGGTGCCGCAATGTCAATCAAATTTACAAACTATACTACACATTCTTATTAATTTGATCGGTACTAAGCACTATGTACAATTAAAATATATCTATACATTACTTATTATTTTCATATAAAATATGCTTAGGTTTTTTGAAAGGTAGCTTTGGGATTATTAATAATTCTTGTTTATTAAGTGTGCGAATAGTAAATTATGTACACATTCTTTAACACAACAAATGATTTAATATAATCACACGTAATTAATTGTTCCTAAGCAGCGTATAATGATAGATAATCGTACATCTAAATCGTAAGATATCGAAATTTGGATTCTCAAGTATTTTATACTTGTATTTTATACTTAAAAAGAAAAAAGAGATGTTTCTTATGAATTCAAACGAGATAATGCAGCGCATCTTCCTATGTGCCAACATAATGAGCGGTAAGAGGAACCGCTTTTCTCTCTTCATATAAATATGCAATCGGATGAACGCGTATTTACTTTATTCCTAAACAAAAAACAAATCATCTTTATTTTCTACTAGATTGAGTTTAAAGAGTTACGTATTACTAAAATGTAAATCATCTTTGGAAAAGACTCAACATTCTTACTTTTTTAAACATTCTTACATAGCAATGTTGTCAAAATCTACATCTACTTCACGAAAACATGCTCTTTATTCTCTTAATAAAATTTAATAACGTAAATTATCTCACAGCATTCATTTTCTGGTTATTATTATTGAAAGGCACACAATTATTTTGTAGATAATTTCATATAACTTTTTTTTTAATATATCATTCACAATAGTTTCCAATGGAAAAAATTATCCATTATAAAATCTCTAATTATCTCTAATTAAAATTTAATTTTTTCATTATTAAGCACATTAAGAAATTCTATTAATTAATTTAATTCATAAACTGTCAAATAGTTAAAACATATCATAATAATTAATTATTATCAAGATTACATCAGATTGCATTGTTTTATTTCACAAAATTATAATAAATTATGAAGAGTAATAATTTAAAGATTTATTATTTGCTATTTTTAAGTCTATTATCATTATAATGAATGAAATACAAATGATATTCCAAAATGTTTCCGTTATCTAACTGGGTAATATCACAATATGTCAATATCATCAAAAT